CAGCGAGATAACGCGCAAGATATTAAAATAATTTTAATTGCTAGATTTATTGCATTGCACAGTCAATTATGCAAAATTAGGTGAACTGGCCCACTGTTTTGACATATTATTAACGCATTGTTCTCATTTTTTGATAAATCGAACTACATTTGCAATTGTATTCATTGTCCTTTACAGAATTTAAATAACAGCTTGAATGACAAACTTCGTATATATTTAACAACAGCCATGTTAACATTTTTCACTTAAAATATTCTATTGCTTACCGAAAACTCTTGAAAGTCCAGACAAAAAATGATTAGGATACTTTCAGTTTCATCATACATCTATGTTCCGAAAAACCTTTGTTAGCATATCACTTAAAATATAAATATCATAACTTCATATTTCACACCTTAACCAGGTTAATGCTTTTGTAGAAAATAATAAATAACTCTAAGACTGCATTCTATTATATCGTTTTGTAAAATCGGTCCATATTTAGGAAGTTATTAGTAAAAAGACATAATCATCGATTTTAAATCAGATAATCTATTTTTGAATTCATCATTTTTGGAGCGCCATTATCTCCAATTCAAAAGCACCTGTTTTCCATACGCACAATGAATAAAATGTCTGTGCAACTACACAAAAATGGCCATCGCGATGACAAACCAAATAATGGTGGGATCAAACATTGTTCTGAAATAATAGTACTATCGTTCGTTTATGACAATTGGTATTAATAAACAAGCAGTGTGAGTATTGACTTTGTCTGTTGGTTTTAATTAGTCTGATTTATATTCTGGATTTTCACTTATTTGTCAACTTTCTGGGACTATGAACGAAACTGAGGGGGTTGGTCTAGCACAGTAATCCCTGTCAACACGTTAAGTTCCTCTTTAAGTGTTGAACGTGGATTCCTGGTTACCCTCTTAAAAACGTGTACTTTAAGTACGTGTGTCGATCTACTTTCAATATGATTACTAAGATAGGAACAGATAAACTATATTTTGAACTCATTATGAACATCAAAGTATCACATATTATTAGTAGAGTTAAAAACTTTTAAATTCTAGAAACACCCTTCCCTTATACCCCCCCCCCCCCTCCTTACTCCCTGGGTGCTATTAAAAGATGATCTATGGCCCTCGAGTCATATTGCTCATCGTGTCTAGATCTCCACTAGTATTTCAGCCTTTAAGAATTTACCGGAACAAAAATGACTACTGTAACATTAAATTGGATCAATGTTAGGATTTGTACTACACCAATACAGAAGAAGGTAATGTATTCAGGCATCTTTGTCAGCCATCTTTGATATTGTAAATCCTACTTTAAATTTCCTTTTCAGTAGGATATGTATTTACTTAAAATAAAATTGAGCAAAAAAGTTTCAAAGAGTATTCCAAAATCTAGTTATTCAGATAACTGATTAATTTAACAAATTCTAGTTATTCAGATAACTGATAAATTTAACAAGTTATGCTTTAATTTGTTCATCTTCTGGACAACATCATGTGCATAGTTTTCATATTTTTGTGACAGCTATTTTATTCATGATGCTAGATAAGTTATCTCGTCATGTCAAGATAGCTATGGTAACAAATGTGATACCTTATCTTGACTGGACAAGATATAAAGTCGGAGTTTGTCGACAAACCAGAAAGTTTTCATCACTTGACGAGATGGTTATCTTGACTTGGCATTATACATGTATGCTATGTTAACAAAAATTAATGTGGATGGCATAAATATGCCATCATAATAAATACTTAAAAAAACATCCGAACAAAATTAAGCTTAAGGTTTACAGTTTATTGTTGTAACTGAATGTGAGATACACTTAACTCTTGGTGAATTTTCAGATAAATGAGACATGCATTCAATATCTACTTAATGCTTAAAAACACAAATTCATTTGACATGTATTAATGATTCAACTTAATGCTTCATAGGAACTCTTTCTACTCAGCTATTTCAATAAGGGGTGTTCTGATGACTTAAATGTATGAAAATAAATCCCATATTTTTTATATATATATTTGAAAAAAAATGAAGTTTCTTTTTTTCCTCTTCATTTTACAATGATAAAAAAAATTACATTAAGTTTCTTGCCATAATTTAGCTTTCAATGTTTCTTTTCAAGATATATGTATAATTTCTCTAATAGCAATAATGTAAAATAATTTGTCAAAAAGACAACCTTATTTATTTAATATGAACAACCTAGCTTCCTCACACAATTAAAACATTTGAAAAAAAAGCAGAAAAATTGTTACAACTCTAAAAATGTTCTAGTCAAAGGCAAACTTGTGTGTTTATTACATTCTAAGAAATGCCTTATTTTTAAAAATAAAAGTTTCATGTTTTAATCAAACCTGAATTTATTTAGCAACAACATAACCTGCATTGTCATGCAAATAACAATAATTGTTTTGAAAAGCTTATAGAAATAGCAGTAATAACAATTTAAAGATCAACTTTAAAAAGATTCTGAAATAAGTATAAGATATCAAACTGACTTCTAGTATCAATATGGCAGAAATTTAAGATATTAACAACCATTTCTTACAAGATCAACTTAAAAAAAATCATCTCTACAAAAATAAAGAAGCCTGATTGAAAATTAAGGTCAAGATGCAATAACCATACTTTCAAATTATTTTTTTTAATAATCTAATTCTAACCCTATGTGTGATAGATAGTGAATTGCAATGAAATGAAACATAAAATTACCCATCTGATAAGATAGAGAACTCACATATTATTTGAAAAATCCCCATTAACTTCATTGACTTCAATTTCTCCAAAAAAAAAATCATGATTTTTAAGCAGTTAAATTGTATATGGTACAACAATAAATGAATATATGTACATTGTATTGCTTGTCATTTTGAATGTGTAATGCACCAAAATATACACTAAAGCAATAGCACTGTCACATGATGCGTGGAATGTTTTGTTCGAACAGTTCATGGCACTTGATTTTTTTAACAATATCTTTTGAATAAAAAAAAGAAACAAAACATTTTGGCTATAACCCCTGATGAAAAAAATAATGTACAACACTTAGATATTCTTTTATCAAAGTAGAGAAGATTTGTATAATTATAATTAAAAAATTATAAATGTAACTTTGCACCAATTTCATTTTCATCCTAATCTAATAACTTTTGCAATAACACTTCCACTTGCTATAAAAAGACCAATTGACATTTCACTTTGGGGAAAAAACATTCCATTTTACATTTCTGAATTGCTAACATGTTTTAAAACAGCTCCTTGTAACAAATAGACTAGTTCAATAACAATAATTTGCTAACATGTTTGTATAAATAACAATTAACTACAAACAATTAATTTTGCAATAAAAAAGTAGGTAAACTTATCTAAAAACAGAATTTTGCGAATACAATGATTAATGAAAAAATACTGTAATTTTTAAGATTTTGAGAAATGATGATATTTCTTTGACTTTGTGTGAATTATTCTTATTCAAAACATCTAAAAATGGTTCCTTTAGTTCTACTCAAAAATACATGTATTATTTGGTGGGATAAAGCAGCTTTACTATTAAAATCCCTCTTAGCAAAATAATATTTTTTATCACATTGATTAATATATAACTGCATGTACAACCTAAACTTAGGAAAAACTAATATCACTTATGCTTCAAAAATAACAAACAAAACATTGTATATTCTGTTCATATATAAGATGTTAAATTCTACTAAGAAATATATATATATAAATGTACATCATAAAAATCATTAAACTGATTTACAACAGTTCTCTGAGACATATAATGCATAAAAAAATTCAGAATATCTATGGTTTGTATTAGATATAAATTGCTTTGTCAATAATAAATACAGTGATGTGCCATAAGTGTTCGAAATTCAATTTTCATTACGTCACTTTACATTTTCACATAACTTCGTCGACGCTGTATCTTTTAACCATGGCGTCAATGTTGAATAAATAAGTATATATTTATAGCATATCCACGTGACTGTCACGTGTCACAATACGTAGCAAAATTATTTTCGTCTGCTGTGTATTTCCCCTGTAAACAAAATGGCTACCGTGCGTAAAGAATTGAGTACTGATGTTAAAGAAGTCATCGTTTCTCTTTACCTGTCTGGATTAAAACATTCAGAAATAGCAAGGAGATTACAAATTCCCCGGTCTACAATAACTTCTGTAGTTGAAATATCGCAAGCGAGGAAGTGTAGAAAACATACCGAGGAAAGGGAAGCAGGCAAAGCTAAGTGACAGAGACAGTCGCAGCATTTTAAGGTTGGTGAAAGAAAACAGAAAGAGAAAATTATCAGACATAACAGCCTTATTCAATGAAAATAGAGACTCTGCTATATCTAAACGGACAGTTCAGCGAAATTTGTACAAACAGGGGTTTTTGAAGAGTTGTTCGAAAGCGCATAAGAATTCGCGAAGTGAACAGAAAAGCACGGCTCTCCTGGTGTAGAGGAAACAGATACAAAACTATTATAACAGGGTCATCTTTAGTGATGAGTGCAAAGTGGACGTTGGGACTGATAACCGTGTTTTTATATGGAGAAATATATATATATATATATATATATATATATATATATATATATATATATATATATAATATATATATATATATATTTCAAGATGACAACGCCCCTATTCACAGAGCCCGAGTAGTTCAAGAATATAAATTACAGAATAATATTCATTCAATGGTTTGGCCCGCTCTCCTGATTTGAATTATTGAAAATATCTGGTTGATGCATTCTTGTGTAAAAATCAGCTGGAGGCAGCCATTCGACGTATCTGGATAAACATCCCAATTTATTATGTTCAGGGCTTATATTAGATATACAGAAAGTTCTGAGGTCAAAAGGCTATATAACAAAGTATTAAGGTAAGAAAAAATATTTTATAATTTTATTTCTGTGTTTTATTTTTCCGAAGCGTCTCGTTAAATTTTGAATTTGGACGAACACTTATGGCACATACTACCATATACATGTATAGGTATTTGTCATAATCATGTGATCTGTGCAATGCATTTATAAAACATGATGTCAAGTATTTATGTACACTTTTTATACACATTGCATAATATTTTAGTAAATTTTGAGATCACATTTATTTCCCTTTGAAATGTGTGATGGTGGTGAAAATTGAAAAAGACTATGTTTGCATCGGTTGAAGCACTCAGCCACTTTTTATTAAGACAAATATTTTTATGAGTTCTAGTCACTGAAAATTGATGAGGGTTACATTCTCTTTTTTCATTTTCAACAATATATTAAAGAGCAAGTCATTTTTTTTTCACTGCATAGTAAAAGGCTGCATTTCTAAAACAGTTAAAAACACACTGAACTTCTTTCAAATGATCAACAGTTTTGATTCACAATCCGGATATCATATTTTTACTATCGTTTATATAACTTACTAAAGTACTAAACTATTTTTATAATAAGGCTTTTAAACATCATTCTTCACTGTTATCTTACAAACACACAATTTTCATTTTAACTATGCCTCTGTCCACACAAACTTACAGTAAATAATTTGCA